CCTCTCATGGGGCGTAAAAACTTAACCCGCTTGTAAAAACTTGTTTTGGGTGAAAACTAAGAGGGTGTTTGGCATCTTACTTCCTTTGCTTCCTGGTGTTCGGCCAGGTACGTGCTGCACAACCACTTCTCCCGGTTCGGATTTATTTTCTGACTTCTGACTGTTGATAAGGAGGGAGAACGATTGAAATCTGGCGTGACTCCACCCCGTTTAGCGGTCCACTGTCTTTGTCTTAAATCCCAGCTGGCGGATAACTTGCAAAAGCTGATCTGTAAAGGACGGGTTGTCTGTTTGTGTTGGTCTTCACCAACTCGAATGCTAAGAGGGGTGGGTAGTACCAAATGTCCCACAAACAGCTGAACCACCAGAGCATCTCGGGAGCACAAATGTCTCCAGTGATTGGGCTTCAGCGTCACTTGATGATGCATATGGGCTCCAGTAGTTGCCCCCGCTTCACAATTGCTTGGTAGGATAACAGACGCCAATTACAGTAGTACAGTTTGTGCCCCTGTCATGATGGGCTCGTTACCTGCTTAATTCCTTGTGTTCCAGGGAAAAGAAAAGATAGGTCTTAACAGAACAATAAGGTTTCTCCCCTGACTGCAAATGCCAAACTGTAAAAGGTACTGGCGTTGCGCAGGGGAAAAAAGGCTCTGTTAACGGGTGCCTTCTCTTACATTAGTGGAGGTCTGCGTTGGGCATTATGGTCAGATTCCTTCTTGGATAACAGGTAAGTCTTAGGGCTTTTTAGGTTGAAGAAAAAATCAAGACAAACAGGAGGCTGTAACTTCCACAAATCAAGCACAGTTTTATATGTTCCTCCAAATAAATGCTGCTGTTGTGGTATTCCTACCACATTGACCCTCCTAGCAAACCAGGCTGTTTGAGTTTTCTTGTTTCTCAGTAGCCCTCAGGGAAGGCTCAGGAAGCTTAGTCCCATCTGAACCTATGTACTCTTTCAATCTCTGCATCGTCCCGTAGCAACAAATTTTGCTAGACTTCGTGTGAAATGTTTATGTCATCAGGAGTCTCTATTCTAGCATAGGAAAG